CTTATATATATATATATATATATATAATAAAAAAAAAAAAAATCAGACAGCAGAATTCTTGGTATTGCAGAGCAAAGTGGGTAGCACGTCTCTCCATGTTCACATCAACTTGTTTACAACATCAGAGAATGTGGAATATAGGTCGATGAATTCAACAATGAAAAAACATCAGAAATCTTTTATTCAGAAATACCAATTTTTAATTTTTTTTTCATATTAGGCATTCAACTAATAATTACATTAATCAGTAATTGTGTTAGGAAACAATCAAGACAACAAGAACTGTAAGACTGACAGAACTTACCAGACGTATATTCTTTAGATAAGCAATAAATAAAGTGAACAGCTATCGTAAACGATTTTTGCCTATTCTCAAACTAATTTCCTACTTGTATTTCAACATTTTGCTGGCAATTTCACTGTACATTTTCATATAATTTAATCCTTTGCTTTATGAGATTCCAAAATGGCGCCCATTACAGATGTTCGCCAAAAACATCACGAAGAAAACTTTGTGGTCGAAAATAAAGCAGTTCGAAAATATCATGGAAAAAATAATGTACCTACAAATCATCGCACGATGATAACATAACAGACATGCGTTTTTCAGGCCTTAATGGATGTAAATGGATACTCACATAATGATTTGTGAGCACAAGATGGAAAGAAGAATAATTTTTACTTTCATATTTTTGATTAACTAATAAATATTTGCTGAAAATGTAAAATGGAAACTTATGCATAGAAAATTAGTTCAATTTATAGCATTTAATAGAATTTTAAACTGATATAGTTAACTAACTAAGGTCACTAACCCCTTCGCGCTGACTGTCACGTATACGTGCCAGCAACGGACACACTTATCTACCGGCCGACACGCAGGCGTGCAAGAGCATTATTGCGTTTTCTACCGAATGTCATGTATTTGTGCCGCTTGCTACCTTGGAACGTTTTTCAAACTATAATTTCTGCCACAAGATGGCACTGTATGTCCATATGGTTTTAGATACATGTAGATTAGACCTTCTACTCGAAATGAGAGAAGCATGACTCACATACACGTGTTTTTGATTATATAAACAAACGGGGAACTAAATGTTTCCGAATGGCGTGATTTATGACGTCTCTTTAAATCGCACTTTATTCGCACGTGGTAGTTGTTTATTGTAAGTAGAAGTTTTATATGTGCTAAAGCGTTGAGTATTTCGGTTTACAGTTCAGTTTTTAGAAAATAATTAGATCTTGTTAGACGTGAATTCTTTCTGTTTTTATTGTTTCAATGTCGAAGCATCGAAAATGTTTAACAGAGCATGAAATAGCAGAAATGATGCAAAATATTTCGGATATTGATTCTGAAATTCTGATATTGATTCTGAAAGATTAACTGAAAGACATTTTCCAAAACTTTTTTCAGAAGTGACTGATAAGAAAATGAGACGACGATGCTTCGTTTGTTCACATTCCCAGAAAAATCCTCCAAAACGGCAAATGAGTTATTACGAGTTCAAGGAATGTAACATGTGACTGTGTGTAGATCCCTGTTTTCAAATTTTCATACAAAAGAGAGAATTTTAAGTAATATATTTAGTTTTCAGATGTATAATGTTAAAAGTCATAAAAATGGTGAGTAATTAAAAATAAAATGTGTAAAAATGTGCATTTAAACAAGAAATAAGGTAATTAAAGTATATATATATATATATAAATATTTATAAAGCATAATCCGTTTAAATACGCTATAGAGCATTATTAAACAATGCGTTGATACTTCGGAGATTTCATGGATTTAGGCTTAGTAGCAAAAAAAGACCCCCAGGAGAGACGCTCGCGGAAGACACTGCTGGCCTCCGCGATAAGCGCGCATTTTCGCTACCCGGCTCGAAGAGGTTAATAAATTGGTTTTTCATAAAGTTTTACTGGTAATTTTTCATGAAAAGTATAAGCTAAAAAAGTACAGAAAAAGGAAGATTAAGTAACTATATGCCCTTACCTATAAAAAATTGTCAATTTAATTATGAGATTATTTTCTTCACTTTTAACCCTTTGCGGCATGGTGGGTCAATATGTGTCCCACCTAATTAATATTTATTTTCTCAGTTAGCAATTTCCATTAGAAATTTTCTAATCTTTTAAAAGTAATCGATTTTAGTTATTATTTTTCTCAATAGATGTCGCTACTATACCAGGGCTTAAGTTTATAAGCAAAATATATTCAAAATGGGATCACAAGAGTGTAATTAATATTTATTTTCTCAGTTAGCAATTTCCATTAGAAATTTTCTAATCTTTTAAAAGTAATCGATTTTAGTTATTATTTTTCTCAATAGATGTCGCTACTATACCAGAGCTTAAGTTTATAAGCAAAAAATATTCAAAATGGGATCACAAGAGTGATATTCAGGTATCTCGAATTTTTCAATATTTAAAAAATTTTGGTATACAATTTAGGATATGTATGATACTTTTTAATATTCAAAGGTATTTTATTTTCAAAAATCTTAATTGGATTCAATATTTTATAACATTAATTTTGCGGTTGATATAAGTGGGTTAAAATTTGTCCCACCACACACTTAAATTTCCGCTCGATAGATGGCAGCACTCACGATTATTTTTTCTTTTCTTTTTTACATCTACTTTTTTCGTGATTGCCTGCGTTTTTACATCCGTTGTATGCTCTGATGTGCTAAAATGTCTAGAAAAAAATTAAAAACTCGGGAAGCTTTGGATCTTTTTGCTGAATTGCCATCCGATTGTGACTCAAATGCTTCAGATGTCAGTTCTGATTCAGATGAAATTGAAATTCAGGAGAGAATAACTGAGGTTGAAGTTATTACTGAAGAAGAAAGGGAAGTAGTTATAATTTGTATTGCTTTTTAAAGACACAGAATATCTATGCATGTGACACTGTAAATATGAATCGGAAGTATCTACCCAAATATTTAAAAGAAGACAAATTTACGTCGAGAAGAGATATAAACTTTTCAGTTAGCGATGATTCAATTTATTGCATAAAAGTGGAATGGATAAAAGATCTGTTTCTATCATTTCAGTTGTCTTTGCTTGGAAAAGGCAATTGAAATGAAAGAAATTAATAGAAAAGAACGAGATGGAAAAACAATAACAACAACAACAACAAAAAAAGTACTGTGCCCAAACAGCATTATTTCATATAAGAATATGGAATATGTCGACTTATTTGATCAACTGAAAGGATTATATGAAATAGGCCTGCAAAAGCAAGAAATGATGTGACACAGGATATTTTTTTACTTTTTACATGCGAGTATAGTAAACACATTTATTCTATTTAAGTTTGTTTCGCGAACCCGATCATGTTGTAAAAACAATGAAAGATTTTAGTCTCTCAGTTATAGAAGGTCTAATGGCACTTGGCAGGCAAGAAAGAACTGAAAAATGAACTGAAATCCCCAGTTCAAATAAAAACTAAAAAACCATTCGTACAACCAGAAAAAGACTAAAAAATGTAAGTTACACATGCAGAGAGAAGGAAGCAGCAGAGAAGATGTGCATATTGCAGCACATTGAAAGAAGAACGACCGAACATTTTGGATGTGTAAAACATGTGAAGTGCCTCTATGCTTACAAGAGAATGAAACAATATATTTTTCAAAGTTTCATGAAAAATAACGTTTTTCAATTTTAATCATATATAAATGTTTTTGAATCAAGTGCCAATTTTAATATTTTATTTAGTATCATATGTACAAGTATCAAATTTTAATTTTAAAATAATATCCAAGAAAATATTTTCTTCTGTTCCTAAAATTTAAAAATATTAAATATATTGTACAAAATGCATTTTAATGTGTTTATTATCAATATTTTAGAATGCATGCTTTATTTTGTTTATTCATTCCACATATGATTTTTTTTTTCCTGCTATATACCAATATGGTATAAGACATGTGCTAGTTGCATGGTGGGACAAACGGTATTCCACCTTCCCCCGTAAAAAATAAAAGCGCAGAATTTTTTTCAAGCTTGAAAGGCACTTAAGTAAGTCCATCTGACTTATTCTAAGGCATTTTTTTAAAGATAAAAATATATTTTTAATATACGTGTCGCAAAGGGTTAACTGATACTCTCACTGTGAAAAATTATTTCTTATTTGTTTAAATTTCTTGTTTTGTTCTTTATAAATTTATTAATTAATAAAAAATATGAAAGTAAAACTTGTCCTTTCAATCTTGCTCTCAAAAATCATTATGTAAATATCCATTTACAATTATTAAAGCCTAAAAAATGTATGTTTGAGATGTTATAGTCATGCGATGATTTGTAGTTACTTTATTTTTTACCACAATAATTTCAACGACGATGTTTTTTAACTGTGAAGTTTTTTAACCGCTTTATTTTCGACCAAGATATTTTGTAACATGATATTTTAGAACTGTGATGTTTTCTCTTTGCTTTATTTTCTCCCACTATGTTCTGTACCAAGACGTTTTCGCTTTGCATTGTTTTCGTCAACGACGTTTTCGGCTGTAACCCCCATTACATGCTGGCAGAATGTGCACAACCCTCATTGGGCTGCCATATAAAACACATGTTTGCTATTATCTGCATCAAAACTGCTATTATCAAACATAGCAGTTTTGATTCTTCTTATCGCTGGGGAGATAACATGAAAGTATTTGAGGAAATGCTTCATATCCATGTTCTCCTGGATTTAATTCCAGTTTTATTATTGCACTGTGTGTGCTACTTATTGTGCTTATTTTCAAAATAAATTTTCCTTCTTCCTATCTGACTTATTATTCAAAGAAACATCAATGATCTGATCCCGCAGCTTGTAACAATATTTTAATTTACATATCAATTTTGCTTTAGCTTACTTCACTTAAAATTAAACCTTTAATTTGATTTCAGTTTTCCTCTCTTAAGATGAGAAAAAATATTACATTTATTAGTTAACTAATCTGAATCCAATTTTCTAATAAAAAAATTATTTAAAAGTATAGTATCAAAAAACTTACCTCATAAGATAATGATGCATTATAAGCATACAATATAATTGTGTCTGATAGCATTTTGTTATACTTAGCCAAAGCCAAGATGCAGTTTCTTAACCTTGCAATGCTTTCTCGGTCAACTTTAGAAATACACTGAAAATACACTTTTTATTAGCAACTAAACAAACAAATAGCATTCAGATATAACAAAAACATAAAACGTTTATATACAAATGAAAATTAAATAATTTAGAAATTAAAGTTAATGACCTAAAACTGAAATAGTACATTACAGTAGAAGTGAAAAAATTGACGGTTTCGCTAATGCGTATGTCGGATTTGTGCAACAATTATATGGTCCCACAAAATTTTCATAAATATTATGAGGTCCTGGGATTGCAAAAAAATCTTAATAATAAAAAGGGATTACTACTGAAAAAAGTTTAAGAAGCCCTGCTATAGAGAAGTTACTTTCTTTTACTGAAATCTCTGATTCAAACCATTGTTTTGTTTTCCAAAATGAATATTTTTGAAAACATCAATCAACATCAGTATCAAAATTTCAGAAGTGTGCAATCACAACCAATTCAGTATCCGTACAGGTCACTTAATTATCAACCATTCCCTTCTTTAAGTTATCATAATAAAGTGCCCAAGTCTGAACATAAAAAAATGAGTTAAATGTCCAAATTGGACAACAAAATTTACCAGGTATCACAGCTAATGGTTCACAGGTAAACGTTCTTCCTTACAATATTTCTAATAGTATTGCTATTCAAGATGAAATCATTTCTGATAAACCTACAAGCAAATTATTGTCTTTATATAATCAGATTTCTGTGGTGAAAATTATTAAAACACCATGCAAAATAGGTAAACTCACTAATGATGTAACATTTTATGTTGTGAATTCTAATTTAAATTATTTATTATTGTCTTTGCCTTGTCTTTCACTGTTCAAATTACAACTGGATTTTAATAATTATCAAGTCTACCAGTTTAAATACCAGATGAATATAAAAGTTAAATTAGATAAGTTTTTTTCAAAATCTGGTATAAATACTAAAAAATCTGGTAAATATTTTGAAAATAGTGAAAATTCTGATGGTAAATTACAAAAATTGCTGAATAATTATAATCATATATTTGCTAAAAGTAAATATGATGTTGGTTGTATTAATAATTGAACCCTCTAGAGTTGTGTTAACTTCTGAATTACCAATAAGCCTACAGACCATATCGCGCATCCCCTAAAGATAATAGTGAAATTAAGAAACACATAGATGAGTTGTTAAATGCTAGTATAATTAAACATTCTTATAGTCCTTATGCTGCACCTGTAACTTCAGCAGCTTATAAGCACAAACAGGCAAAAAGTAAATTGTGATTGATTACAGAAAGCTTAATCAAATTACAAAAACTGATTCTGAGCTCATTCCTAGAATTGATGCTGTATTAGATCAGTTAACGAATTCCATTTCAGATCATGTGACACTTTAATGTACAGGATTCTGGGTTCAGATTTCATGGGCAAGTGCGCATCAGAACTGTGCAGGGAGTAAAATTTATTGCTGTTATTTTTAGAATGAAACGGAAGTTAAAGGGCTAGCTGGATTTCATATTTTACATTTATCAAGTATATATATTTAATAAGAGACTTTATGCTCATCCTGCATACAGTCCCCAATGTGGATCCTAAAATTAATAACACAATCTACAACTACTCATTCCACTGACATACTACTAGCCATCACATTAGCACAAATGTTACCTTCAAAATACAGCTTTCAGCAGTTATTCCAAATGACCGCAGGATTTCACACTCAAGCCAGGGTTTCCACTGAAATTCAACTTTCTGAACTTTTCAGTTTTTCATGACTAAATGGAACTATTTCTCTGATTAACATGATCAACGACTTTTCAAATTAAATATGAATAATTAAATAATTTTACTTGGCTTGTTATCCAGCACGTAGCAAAAACAAAGAATATTACAAAAATTTACTTTAGCTTACTTATTACCCCAAAGGTGATGTCTCAGGCACCAGTCATGTGCTGGCACAAAAAAGCAGCATCCTATTGTTTATTTTAAAGTTTAATCAGCAGTTTAATTTCATGCAAATATCATACTTGAATAACATTCTGAAACATATTTTGCAATAATATCATTGTAACTATTATAATAAATTCACTTGTAATATATATCTGGTTGTAACAAACGTTTTCCACCAAGAAATGTTCTTAATTAAGTATTTAAAAAAAAAAAAAAAAAATTTAGTATGGTTAGTTAGTAATCACCACCACTTTAGTATGGTTAGTAATCACCACCACTTTAGTATGGTTAGTAATCACCACCTAAATCTGTGATTTTCTGCCACCATTTTTGTAGTTTTTCAAGCCTTCAGCCGAGAAACTTGTGGCTGGAAGTCCAAAAAACAGATCAACCTCATTTCGGACGTCCTATACAGAATACAAGATAGCACCAGCAAGATGTAACTACAGGTGAGAAAAAGGTAGAAGTCCAAAGAAGCGATGTCAGGGCTACATGGTGGGTGTGGTAAAAGATCCCATTTGAGTCCATACAGAGTCCAGCCGTTGAAAACAAACACATGTGGTCTTGCATTACCTTGATAGAACTCAGATCAATATTTTTTCTTAATAGCAGCACCAACATGAGCTATCATCTCGTTGTACACCTTACTGTCACGGGTTTTATCTTGTTTCAGATACTGTTTGTGTATAATACCATGGCCATCCAAACAGATTCAAAACATGATCTTTTTGTTAGTCAAACTGCAATTTCGATCCTGCCAATGGGCTCACCGGGTGCAGACCAACTCCCTTTTCGGCCTGTGTTATTGAAATAAATCCACTTTTCATCACAAGTGACGATCCAGTCCAGAATTTTGTCCCTGCGATGATATCCGAGCAGATTAGTGCAGGCCTAAACATGTCTGTCCTTATCTGCTTGAGTCAGCTGATGCAGTACTTGGTGATTGAACTTGTACGTCAAGTTTATGCGACGAATAGTGCGACTAATGGACATAGTGCTAACGTCTAACTTCTTAGCAAGCTCTCGAGTAGTTGCATACTTATCTTCTTTCACAATTTCTCACAGGCGGGCTCCATCATCATCAGTAGGCTGGCCAGGGCGCTCTCCTTCTTGAATGTCATAGTCCTTGTTTTTGAACTTTCGGTACCAAACCTTCATAGAGTCATATGATACAACATCAGTACCTAAATCTATCTGTATACGATTTGGCGACATTCTGTAGCTGACGTTTTGCAGCAGAAGTGGAAGTACATGATGGTTCTAATCTGGTAGTGTGATAGTTCCATTTCAGACACCTTAATGATAATAATATTTTTTTTACAAATTTCACAAGACAGTCTTCTAAAACAAGTCTCTTTCTTTCAAATGTCAAAAATCGTTTGACAAAATATGATTAAACACAATCCACTTTTCACCACAAGTGACAATCTGGTCCATCATTCAAATGCTGTTGCACACAAACTGCCTGCATAGATGATATTTGCGGTAGTGAGAAACTTTTGTTAAAACCCAACATATTTGTTTGCAATACAGTTTCATACAAAAATAATGCATACTGTTACTTACTTTGATCTATATTACATTTTTAAATGCTGCGCATCAGCGCTTAATGCAATATTGCAGAAATAATTTTACCTCTAATGCCAATCACGCGCTGGCACATAGTCCTAAAATTCTATGCTTAAAGTGTTAGCAACCAGTGTAGTACACATAATAATCTTTTATTACTTTTTTGAATCACATTTCTTATAATAAGTAAGTCGGCCTATGGATATGATCTACTTCTATCACACAGCATTAACTATCAACACAACCTCACATGACCAGCAGCGAAAGTGTTACGGGAGTTTGAAAATATTGCATTTCCCAGCAAGGATTGAGAAAGCAGATCAAAAGTTTACAATCTTTCGATCCCATACAGAAATGCCCAAATTATTGATACTTACTTTCCCCATACAGAAATACCTGTCCTGTATGGGGTTATGCCAGTCGTATTCATATAAACAAATTCCAAATATTACAAAATGTAGATTACAAAACACTGATTACGAACAGCCGTTAGTTTATTTCAAAAGGAACTTAAAGTTAAACAAATCAAGACCAATATGGCCAAATTAGCAAGGAAATTCTTTAACAATATTTCTAAGATAAATAATGTAAGCATTCCAAGCTTAGACTATGACATCAACAGCATAAATAATGTCAGAAGACCTTGTGCATTACTAAGAGTGCTAATATGTTTTTATGATCCTTGTAATTATTTAACTTTTATCTTAAATCTTAATTTTTAACATTGTTTCATATTCATTTATAACTTCATACCTATTAAATTATAAATGCTGATTCTGTTCAAAATTTATCTCTCCCCTTGATTTCGACATTACCAATACCAAATATCTAGCTCTGAAATCTCTCCCACCTCAAATTTACTGCCAAATAGCCAAAGTGCATTTTTACTCTCTTGCCCTATCATTTAGCTCCAGGAAGTTGCTCTCCTCAAGTTGACGCTCCTCAACATTCTGACAAATAGCTCACTATTCATCAGAATTTTATTTTCTTGCTCACTTCTCCAAAAAACTTTGTACTGAAATAATTTTGGATATAATAGATATAATCATTTATCATACCTATTTCAAGCCTCATGGTCTTCGCTATAATAATCAGAGACTTTTATGCTCAACAGAAGCTATTTCACCAGATCTAATTTGAGTCTCTGAATTATAGCCTATTTAATCAACGTTCTAAACTACATGCCAGTGCTATGTTTATCAAAGATATGTTTTTGAATTTTTCATATGTTCAACACAAGGTCAGATGCTGCCCAGGAACCTGCATCTGTGATTTAATCACCCGACTAAAAATGTTTAGATTTTCCTTTTCCAAATGAGTAGGTTAACTGAACCCAGTTAAACTGAAGAAGGTATCAGTTATAGCATTTTAATTTTTCATTGGGTAGTTTCCAAATCTATCTAGAGCTTGCTGACACAATTGCCAAATTTTAATCCAATTAAAATTTGCTGGATGAAACTGATAAAGAAGACGATAACAGCAAATAATTAAACAAATTAAACATAGTTAATCTAAGTTATAAACTCAAATGAGATATTATAATATTACTCAATTAATTATCACATCATGGAGCATCTTCCATGATGACAATAAGCTTTGCCATTAAGCAGAAGCAATGAATAGATGACTTGTTTCTAAATCAGTCTGAAGATTACTATGACACAACTTTAAGACCTTAATCTGACTGAAATCCATAGAATGAAACTGAAACAAAAGATGTACAAAAACAGCTATATTTATTCAAAAATAAAATTCCCTCTACATTTTAGAATAAATTTCAAGAAATAAATATATAAGTGAATACTTGACAAGAGCATATGTTCTGATTAGGATTCATTTGTTTTCGGTTAGAATAAAAGACAAACTACCTAACTACATGCAATATTTTACTATGACACGAAAAGAATAGAAAAGATTAATGTACATTATGAATTGTTTCAAACATACTAATGGCAAATAATTATTGCTCAACTAGACAAGTTTATTAAAATTAGTGGTAGTTATCCAGATTACATATGTGGTATAGTTACCTGTGTGGTTAAGGAGTCTTAATTATTCTATATAGTATTCCTATTAAATTCCTCTTTTCATTTTATAATTTTATTTATTAAATAACTGAATATACCAAATTTTAGAATTAAAAATAAATCCTACCAAATTGTAGGATAAAAATGCAGGTCTTATTTTCAAGTAAATATAGTAATTTAACTAATTAAGAACAGTTAATCTAAGCTTCCTGTTCATAATTGTATTACTTACGCCCAGAACATGTGCCTAAGCAATTAGTCTTTTTCAAGCATACTTAACATTTACTAATTATATGCCAAAGTCTTTTTTAAATACTTCTTCATCATGCTTGAGTGTCAGCAGCAAAATATTTGTTGGTAAACAGATAAAAAGAATGAAAATATAAGAATTGCGTTTTTACGTTTTTCAAACAATTTTCTTATATTTGTTTTAAAATGCACTAATTTGAATACACATACCCTTTAAAAATGCCTTTTTAATGTGCCCTTTAAAAATGTCCTAAATATTTCAAACATTTTGCCCTAAAGCCAATCTCATATCAAACAGCATTTGTTTAATGATTTGCATTATTGTATTTCTTCATAATCAGAATCTTCTTGCACTGGATTTAAAACACTATCAATGATTTCATCATTTTGGTCTTCACCATTGCATATTGCTCTTCTCCTGAAATACTTATTCATTTTTCACCATTTCTTTTACACAAAGAAGCAATTCTTTCACTTTAGCCTTTAATTGTTTCTCCTTTAATTCAAAATATTCATCATTGTTAAAGTTTCAATTAAAAAAAAAAGTTAATATGGCAGTAAATTGTGCCACCCATCTACCAAGATGTTGAATGTGCTAGTTTCGCTGTTAGGAACAAAGGTTTTGCAATTTCATTATCTTACTAATAGTGAATTTCATTGTTTAGATCTAGCAGGCTGTGTGGATTTCTATCTTATACTGTATAACATCATAATTTTCATAAACTGGATCAAACAATCAATACTTCAAAATCTATCGCTATATAAGAAAGCAAAAAAATTAAGAAATTTAATGTAAAGAAAGATACAAAATTGAGAAAAATTTTCTTAGTTATTATGCTAATAAAATGTCACAAATTATTAGGCAGATAACACAAAAATTACAAATTATTAGGTAGATAACACAAAGACATTATCATTAAAAAATAAAAACAGCAAACCTCTAAATTTTGAGCGAAGCCACCAGTTTCAATATCTTCACCAGATATAGGAGCTATCCAAATGTAACCATTATTGCTCAAAATAATTTGAATACCACTCACAATATCATGGAAATGGGTCTTTTTACGAAGTACCAAAGAGGATGGAACTTTCACCAACTGACCTTGAGACAGCTGGAAAAAAAAATGTTATTTTAAATATATTATATCTCCAAAGATAACTGCATACCTGCCAACTCAGCCCATAAGAGAACAAGATGAGATGAATTTTGGGTACTTTCCCCAACCCCCTCCAAAAAGTTGTTAACTGTATAGCAACAAAATTTTTCACCAAGCTAAAATGTCAATGACAATATCCATTTTCAAAATTTCATAAAAGAGAAATGACTCAATACAATTTAAAAAGCATAAAACATCTTTAATAAAACACTAATCTTTTTCAAGACACCCTTATTTTTGCTCTGATGTTATTTTCATGCATACAGCGATCTGTTTCAGCTTAAAAATACATCAGAAAATAGCACAAATTTTGAAATTTGATCATTTAAGAATTTTATAGAATATAAAATTTTGCATTCTGCTGAGAAAAATGTCATATTTCTGAAAAATGCAAAGCTTTCTTTTTCATAAACCAACAAACTCCACATTCCCATTATAATTCTTACATTAAAAAAAAAAAAAAAAAAAAAAAGTCTCAGTGCAAACATGAACACTAATAAGAAAAATAACTGTAGAATTTGAAGGTGGAGTTCTGTTCTTATTTGCTACACACACATACCTGGACTGCCACATAAATGCATTTTGGCAACATAGTGCATTGCCTCATGAATAGGTTTCAGACAGGTGCAGACAGTCAAAAAGAACCCTTTTTAAATGCAAGAAAAAACATAAAAGGAATTTTATACAGAAATGTTAACCATATTGTAGCAAATACTGTTTTCAAGAAAGGTATTTGAAAAGAAACAGAAATTATTGCATTAGACCACCATGTAGGAAATTTTTATTCCAAAAGTTGATGCAAATTTGCTTTTTTGTAACAACTTTATGCCAGACTTCAGAAATGGTCACAAACTTCTCCATCATGAAAGGGGTTTGTCATGGGTGTCACACAACATAGACATAAACTAGAATTCAAAGTGAAAGAATGAATAATTGAGAGGTGCATAGCGAACCCACAGTGATAATGTGAATTATCCAAGAATACAATTATGTGTAGAATTTACCATTATGCGTGTTCTTCGCGTGTCATCTTGCTAAGTACGCAGCAAAGTCTTCAAGTTATAATGCAGTCTTCTCTGACCCAATTTTTTGCAGCTAACACAAAGTCATCTTATTACAGTAATAGCATAGTTTTTTTTTACATCTAACGGGACAGTTTTATCACACATACACACATATGTAAGAAAAATCAAGATTATGTAAAAGATTCAATTAGCAACGTAAATTTCCCTTTTCAATTCTAAAAATAGTAACTTCTTTTTGCACTGCATCATTTCTAGATTAATCCATGTCATATGACTTTTACATAATTCTGGTGATGTAAATGGAAAGGATTAAGTTCATAAAGTTATATTTATATATTATATATATATATATGTATATATATACATATATATATATTATTATATTTACTGACATCTTCAAAATGTTGATATATTTGTTATGAAATGTTACTGTATTTGTTAAAAAATCTTAGTGAAGTTTGCAAATGGCCAAATCAAAATTTTTGTAGAAAGGCTCTCTTAATCTCCAAAATCTCACATTTAATGTACATAATCAAAACTCAGCAAATGAACAAAATTCATATTCCAAAAATGTAAGAACTTACATTTTGATGTAATAATGAGGGTGAATTCAAACAGTAACTTAAATGTCTGCTCAGACTACAGATTAGATGAAAAATTATGAAGTAGCAGAATTTTTTAGGCCTTTACAAAAAAAGTTCCATAAAACATGATTTTCATGTGCAAAATCTTAAAACTAGAACAGTTTCAAAAAAATTATAAATAAAACACAAAAGTTGGCAGATATGGACATGTGAGTTAAAAAGAAATTTAAAAAACTATAACAGCAGTTTAAAATAATGTTAAAGCACACCTTTCCATACTTCATACTCCTAGTATGTAAAGATAAAGATCCATCAGAAAACACAGATTTTACCTCTGCCTAAGTGTTAATTAAGGAATATAAGTAAGGATGAAAGTGGAATGAAAAAATATACTCATACAGAAGACACATTAAAAGAAATAATAATACAGTACAAAGTCCGAGATCCGGAATCCTCTGGAATTCAGCGATTCCAGATATCAGATCATCAGTTCAAAACTTGTAAGATGGCATGTAGAAATTTTAAAATTAAAAATACGAAATCTTGATTTATAAAATAATGAAGCATTTATGATCTACAAAAAGCTTAATACAGTCGAAAGTCGTTAATTCGGACACCCATAATCCGGACCTCAAAGCTACAAACTTTGTGCGCATGCGTCTATGCGTGCACATAATATCTTTACGGCTGCTAATATGCATGTGCGCATGTGCATAATACCTTTACGCATGCGCGTTTAATGTATAAAGGACGGTATAAGCTAAGCTAAAATTATCTAATTCAGTTAATGTTGCAGATAGCATTGTTCCTTAATCTTCGAATTGGACTCGGCTTATTATTTTTTGCAGACTGTTAGAGCAATTTTATAAAAGCTTGAACTTTCGATTATGTCAAATAGAATTTCCGATATATATTTACTAATATGTAAAGGATCTACAAAGCGAAAGTATGTTTCGAAGTCCATTAAACAGAAAGTGGAATTGCTGCAAAAAATGGATAAAGACATATCCTTTGATTATCTAATCATTCCAAAATATGTTTATCAATTTCACGCTGCTCTGGGGGGAGGGAAACAACGTGGCGCGCAATGAATTGGAAGTCGATCTGTCAGCACTATCCTTATCTTCAGAGCAGATGTTTTTATTTTATTTGGTTTATAATTCCGTACTAAGTGTAGTATTTCATCTCGATATACTCCGTCTTTGATATGATTTAAATCAAGTTCCTCGTCATTATAATTCGCTTCCGATAGTGAAGAAAGTGACCCAGAGGTTATTGAAAACGAAAACATTTCGATTGACAAATTAGTCGGTATTCTCAACACAGCAATTATAGGACTTGAACAGCGGAACTTTGTAACTAAACAAGAAATTATGTCTGTTTAATAGAATTAAAGAGAAAGTATTATCACATGAAACGAAACAACTTACATTGAAAGAAATGTTTAATAAAGTAAACAAATAAATATTAAGCTTTCTCTTTTTGAAAATTTTAATACCCTTTAGATCATAATTGTTCTTTATTTCATAAATTACAGTTTCTTATTTTTAATTTTATAATTTCTGCATGCCATCTTACCAGATTTAAACTGATGATCTATAATGCGGAAAAAAATCGATAATCCGGAATCGCCGAAGTTCCGACGAGTCTGGATTAATGACTTTTGACTGTATTTATTTGTTTACTTTATTAAATATTTCTTTCAATGAAAGTTGTGCAAGTTGCTTTTTTTTGCTAATATTTTCTAATTAATTCTGTAGACAGACAAAATTTCTTATTCACTTTTAAAGTTTTATTGTTCAAAGTCCTGTAATCACTGTGTCGAGAACTCCAACTAACTTGTCAATCAAAATTTTTTTGTTTCAATAACCTCTTTATCACTTTCTTCACTATCAGTAGCAGTATTTTCTGGATCTAGTATCATACTATAGGTATTTCGACGTCCGTTAATTGAATGATAATTGTGGCATTGTCATCACAATGAAAAACTTCTGTTATATCATCTTTATGTTTCTTTAAAAAACCCATTAATTGGAAAATTTAACCTTTGGTTTGCAAATCCAGGAACCTTCACATTCGGCTATCATATTCACCATCCTCACCATGAAATATGCTAGCTCGCCACAAATTATATAAAGCACATTTTAAATATCTAGAGTAACAACCTACCGCGATATTGTGATGCTCCACAAAGCAGATTTTACGCTAAAATATTTCAAACATTATTAAATTGTCTTACCATTATTCAAGAAATTTAACATGGATTTTAAAAATTCTACTTTATATTTGCACTTCAGCACGTGCACTATTCCGATATCCATAGGCTGAATGATGGACATACAATTTGGAGGAAAGAATAATACGAATACATTATCTTTCTCTGAAAAATTAAGTATGAGCCAAACAGTTGCTTGCAATCAGAACAATTTTTGCGTCGTCAGGTAAACCAAACAAATGGTGCAGAACCTCAGATATGAAATGATTTTCAAATCAATCATTCATTAACACTTGTGTGATCTGTGTTCTTTTATTTGCACGATATATAATGGAAAACTCTTTACTCCTTTAAATACCTCAGGTTATGTATTTTTTCAGATATCGAAAAGTTTACATACATTTGTGCATTCCTGCAGCATTTGCTCATGCTAAACTTGTTAGTCTCATGTTGGAATCTTTGACACTAAGTGGAGCCTTTTCTGTAGAGGTTGCGAAGGCATTTTGCGGTACATATTGCCAGAAAAGACAACTTTCATCAGGTTGTAAGGATTATGTTAATTTTATAACCAGTTCAATTTTGAGTTAAACTTCTTTCCTGTCAAATTCATAACTTCACCTTACTACTTCTGGCCAGAATGTAGTTTTAGATTTATGTCTGAATACATAATAAGGAGGAGCGATATTTAAACCGCAAAGTTCTTTGGTCTTAGCGAGAGAGTTATCAGGTATTCTGTCTTCACGCGTCTGCCTTTTTAGGTTCTCTCTCGTAAGCTTTTATTACGCTCAGCCGTACTTAGGCCCTTGATAGCTTTGCAGTCAATTAGCGTTAAGGGGCCAACTCGGTTAGAATCTTGATAGCTTCGGCTATATCTCTTTAGATTACTTTTAGTTTACTTCGTAGCCTCTTAAGTTCAAGCCCAAATGTCAGCCTTTATCGTACACTCCAAGATGGAGTTCTGTTAAACCTTATTTGAATAATAAAGGGTTATTTACCCTTCCATCTTGTTTCTTGTCACACGAATTCAAGCGACTATTCGCTTATCGGTTCTTAACGTTCAACAGTAACATAGCATTTACAAAGTGGGGAACTTTACAAGGTTGTAAATTTGTTCTGGATATAACTTTTAACTATTAATGAGTTCAATGAATTCATCTGCAAATAGTTCAGTAGCTTTAGCTGAAGCTTTTTCACCTGAAATTCTTAATTGCCTTATACCATGGTGATTTTCAAATTTGGTTAACCAACTTGTTGAATATGTGCACTCAGTTTTTAAGTTCATTTCTTAGTGAAATAATTTAGCTTGAGCCATTAGCATTTGACCCGTCAATAGTGCGCCCTCGCTGCGACGTTGTCTGATCCTCTGATCCATTCGGTCATCACCTTGTCATGATATTCACTTTTAGCATAATATATAACTTTTCTGTTATTCATTGCGAGTGGGGTGTTGGAATCCACAAAAAATTCAAAAAGCTCCTTTTTCTGTTTTCTTATGTAACATACAGTTGACTTTCCAGTGCCATACTCCTCACATAATTTTGATACAGATATATCTTTATTCAATTTTTGCAGCAATTCACTTTTTAATGTAATGGATATCTAAACATGCTTTCACTTTGTAGATCCTGTTGCAGCTGCAGAATTAGAAACTCTTTTCGACATAATCCACAGTTAAAAATTTAATTTTCATAAAATTGCTGTAATGAAAACTGCCTGCAAAAAATAATTAGTCTGGATCAAATCAGAAAGTTAAAGAACAGCACAACATGGTATATTGACTGAAATTCCTTGGAATCAGTAAAGTATCGTTTAAGCATAGCTTAATGGTGCCCACTATACATTATCTGGCTATGTGTCATGAGATTGGAGAAAAAAGATAGGTTGTTTCGCTAAATTTTGTCTTGCTTCTATCGCGCACTGAGGCAATTAAGCCTGATTGTATTAGTTTAGTTATTTATTATACTTACGTCTATTTCTTGCACATGCTTAAGGCTCATCCGAGTCTTGAATAAATATAATCCACATATACTTAAGGCTTATCAAGGGTTGGCCCTAGATATCCTGCTGCCTGATGCAGTCTCTGCGAGTCCTAAATTTTACTACCAATCACCTCTCTAAGTTCTTAATTTTTGCCGCCCCTATATTTCGGGTCCCAATGCTTTCCCTAAATTCTGCCTGGATTTATTTGGAAAGCATATAAGTTATTTTTAATTTAAATAGCACTAAATGTAATCTTTTGGTTTATGAGTATCATTAACAAAATCTATTTTTAGCACATGAAAAGAAATTTTTGTTGCATTTTTCGTCGTCAATATTTCTTAGCGCAGTTAACTTAAATCTCTAGTAATTGCCAAGCATAACGTCAACATAAAAGGTTACCATACTCTTTGATATTAAATTACTAATATAAAAAAAATTGTTTGGGCATCGCAGCACGAGTCATTACTCAAGTTATCATGTGGTGATGAAAGCAAAATATAATAAAAGTAATAATTCGCCAGGCTGGCGTCAGGTGTATAAAATATTGTTACGAAATGTTCAGGCGCGTTAAGATGGCTTCCCCGCAAAGCAGTTTTAGGGTTGGAATAAAATGGCAAGGGAAGGGCGGGTTGCCACATTTGGCAAGAAATCACCCATTTGGCGATAAAATTGGTGATATACCATGGACAGTAGGAAAACCTTCTGGAACGAATTCTTACCGGTTTAGCCCAGATTGTTCTCGAACACAAGCCGAAAGCTATATAAACCCTGCTGGTCCGCAATCAGTTAGTGTGTGTCTCTCATCAAGTGCGAGTTTGCCTTGTCTAGCGAGCTGATAGTCAGTCATTGAGCGAGTGTCTCAAAGTCTAGCGCCGAGTTGGTTGTTGAGTGCATCGTCGAGTTTTGTCTTAGACTGTGCTGAGTCAAGAGCTATACTCTTGTGTATTGTCGAGTGCATCGCGTGGAGAGCCTCGAGAGAACATGGGAGTTCCGAGAATGGCCTAGCAGAGTTGGGAGTTGTACTTGGGTGCTTTGCAGCGAAGCTGTCTCCACCGTGATTGCTTGACAGTGTGAAGGCTGTGTCATTGACCGTGTCAGCATGTGTATAACAGTTCGACGACTGTAAACGAGATTTAGGAGTTG